TCAGCATCAGAGTACATGTTCTTTACTGCTACACTATGTGATCTGAAATAGAACTCGAAACATACAGTTCTATATCACTATAAATTATAATTTAAAGGTTAAAGTTAAGGTTGCTCCATGGGATCTAGAATATTCTTGGCTACAATCCTGATTACACTGTTATTGGGCACATCCTAATTTTGGTCGGCGTGATGGTTTCCCAGAAATGTCCACATCCTAATCCCAAGAGCCTAAAACATGTTATCTTACATGGTAAACAGGAATTAAGGTTGTAGGTGGAATGAAAGTTGCTCACCAGCTAACTTTGGGATGGACAGATTAACCTGGATTACCTAGGTGGGTCCAGTGTAAGTATAAGGGTCCTTGTAAGTGCAAGAGGGAGGTATATGGAAGAAAACCAGATTTATAGAAGCCTAGCATTGCTGGCTTTGAAGCTGGAGGAATGGGGCCACCAGCCAATGGTCTCTAGAAGCTGGAAGAAACAGCTTGGAAGCTGATTCTCCCCTAGAACCTCCAGGAGATAGCTGCCCTTCCCATACTTTGATTTCAGCCCAGGGAGACCGATTTCAGGTTTCTGGCCTCTAGAACTTTAAGATAATAAATCTGTGTTATATTAAATTTGTGGTAATTTGTTTCTGCAGCAATAGAAAAGGAATATGGTTGGATTGTTTTTCTGAGTTCTGGTCATGTTAACAGTAACACCTCCCAAGAAAACAGTACCCAGTTTTAAGTTTTCTTTCTCTGCTTTTGCCAAAGAAAGCACCTGACCTAGACTCTGATTCCCCTTTTCTATATTCACCTTCCTCTTCCTCAAGGCATCAATCTGGCAATACAGATATACTGGAGTACCGACTCAGTAGTGCTATGGGATGAAAAGGTTATTTTAAATAATGGCCTTTACAGATTTCTTCTGGTCCCACTTCAACAAACACAGCAGCTCTAGCTTCCATAGTTCAACACATCTTCTCTACCAACAATGGCGACCAACCGGAGGAAACCGATGTGATAGAAACCATGGGTAGAGAAAACATATGTAAATGTACATAGGCTCCTCTCATTAAACTGCTCTGGTGGAAGGATAATGAGTATTATCAGCCTTGGGGAATTTGCTGTTCTCTTTATGCTGACTTTTTGTTTTAGACTTCTTCCTTTTGAATGTCATTTCTGTCTCAGTTTTAAAACCGTTATCAGGTCTACCAGCAAGCCCAATCTGACCTTTATGTTCATCAGATAATTAAGACCATGCCAGGATGGAAGCAGTCCTCCTCTGCAAAGTGATGATGATGCTTTGTTCATAACAATGTTTACAGAGGGCAGTATTTTCCTGGCACTGGTTCCCCGGAGTGCTCTTTTGGGTCAGTTTCACCACTGGGGTAGGACTTTGTGATTTTGCAGAAGATCCAGATCTCTCCCTGCTCCACAGCCCTTATCAGTTGATGAGAGATTACAGACCCAGGCCAAGTAGCCTGGCTTGGGTTCCAGTACAGAGTTGAGGACCAACTGCTACCAGCCATGTAGTGTCAGGAACAGCACACTGCTCTCATTCACATTCAACTGCTTGGCTTAAGTGTCACCTCCAAGAAATCGGACACCTCACCTACTTAGCATTAGTTAGGGCTTCATGATTTATATAGCAATCATTAATTCCATCCATCCATTTTTCTACCTACTCCACCTCATGCCCTTCCTATCTGATCAACAGGTGTCTATTTACATCTACTATTAACCAGGCACTTTGCTTAGCACTGTACATACAGTGGTGAGCAAACATGAAGAAATTCCTTCCCTCGTGGAGTTCCCACTTTCATGGTAAAGAAAAATAGTTTCACTAAACACACAAGTAAATGTCCATGTATCAACAGGTACACTGAACTCATAGTCCAAATAACAGTGGCAGCAGCAATAACAAAAGTCTTCCAGTCTACTAAGAAAGAAATAAGAATACAGACAAACAGAAATAAAAGAAAAGAATGGAATAAGCATGATATTATATAAAATAGGATTGGGACAAAAGGGTGGTACAGTTATATTGGGGATGGAAATTAAGAAGATGAGTATGTAATTAGAGAATAAGAAATCCACAGAGTCTTTTTTTTTTGAATGAAGACAGTGGAAGGAGTTAAGTGCTCAGAGAGAAGTCCAATTATCTGTGGAACAAATTCTCAGATCTTCAAACCCCAGTTCCATTTCTTTCCAGCCTACATGAATGAGCTTTCTTGAGGCTTGGGGGCCATTATATGTAAGCTGAAGATTTGTTCTGTTTCATGCATTTGCTGAGAACTTAAAAAGAGACAATATTCAAGAAAGCCCTTAGAACAGTGTCTGATATATACAAAGCCTTTAATATACTGTTTTTGGAGTTGGACATGAAACCTGAATAGGGCTGTGGAGTGAAACTTAGTCCTGAAAAACATTTTTGTTTTTCAACAACACTCTGATAGCAATGAGCATATCCAATGCCTACATCTTGGTTTCTCCCATCCAAGCACTAACCAGGCCCAACCCTGCTTAAGCTTCTGAGATCAGATGAAATCAGGTGTGTTCAGGGTGGTATGGTGGTAGACTCACATCTTGGTTTCTAATACCATTCTCCAATAAAAGGAACCAGCACTCCTTGGAGAAATGGCTGATCCTAGGACTGGAGCAGGAAATATACAAGATCAGCCTGAAGCACTTTGTGTTGCCAGAAATGAACACAAAGTGCTAAGGAAGCACTAAAAACAAAGATGCATATATATATATATGCACATTTTTGTATCTTCTGACATATCCCCCATCATTTTATATATATAATGCATTTTATCATCTACCATTAATGATGGGGTATGTTAGAGGATAGAGAAACCACTAGAAGAACTCCCAATGGCCAAAGCTGGAAGAACTTTAGTACTAAAATAAATAAAATCATATTGGACTATAATCCAAGGTATAAAATAAATATTCATAAGCCCATACTGATAGAGAAGTCATGAGGAAACATCAGAAAAACACCAATTAAAGGACATTCTACAAAATACTTCACCAGTACTCCTCAAACTTCAAGATAATAAAAAACAAGGGAAGTCTGAGGAACTGTCACAGCTAAGAGGAGCCTAAGGAGACAGGACTGCTAAATGTAATACAGTACCCTGAATGAGATCCTGAAATAAAAAAGGACATTAGGAAAAAATGAAGGAACTTTGAATAAAGTGTGGACTTTAGTTAATAATAATTACCAAAGTTGCTCCATTAATTATGACATGTATCATACTAACATAAAATATTAATAAAAGGAGAAAGTGGATGTGGTATATATGGGAACTCTCCATACTATCTTCACAATATTTCTTTAAATCTACTGTTATAAAATAACTAAGTTTATTAAAAAGAAAAAACAAAGAAAAGAAAACATTCTTGCAATGCCAGACCTTTTGGCATCCTGGGAACAGCACAGAAAAGATCCACACATACTCCCAAATTATTCCCCCATAGGAGTCAGGGTTAGACGAGCCAATGGTTTGATCTACCCAGTCTGAAGAAGAGGTTATTCTGCTCATTCATCTAAGCCCGTGTTTTCCTCTTAGTTATTTCTTGGCTACACTTTCAAACTTAGGGTGTATTTCTCTTTTGATCACTAAATAAGAATAGAAGAGTAAAACCATGTTCTCTGTTTTTAATTAGTAGCAATTCTAAAGTCAGTCTTTTTAAATTGAAATTTAGGATCGTCAACAAAATACATAACTTTCCCAGCAGTTTTGTGACAATACCTCCAGCCTGTCTCTTTGTTGCCCTTTACCATTACTGCACTTTTTTCTTTGTGTGTCCAACACGATACCAATTTCAAAATTGCATAATGGTTTTATTGTGAAGATCTGCCTTCTTGGTTCGATTTTCTATAACATAGGTCAGCACATGCCCCTTCACTTAGACAACTGGCACCTTCCTCCCCCACTAAGGAACAAAGCTCACATCACGTTGAATTCAGCGATACTCGCTTCGGCAATAAGAGCGTGAGAAAAAGTCATTGTATTATGGTATTAGACACTCATCCGGCGGGTTATTTTAAATATTACCAGAACTTGAATAGCAACAATAATAACCCATTCTATTAAAAAAAGGGGGGGGGGGAGAAAAAAAGAGCAAGAAAAAGGAAAACAAGGAAAACAACAGAAAAAAGGAGGACTTCATTGCCTAAGAGCTTAAGATCTATTTCGATTTCCTCCGTTTTCCTAAAAAGTTAACGGGAAGAAAACAAACTGATAGGAAACGTTCCCAGGATTTTAAATCTCATGAGCCCAGAATCCGCGAAAATCCTGTTTAGAACCACCCCGTGAAACAGGCTTTGGGACGTCCTCCCGCTACCCGTTCATTCAGCTGCTGCCTCTTGTTAACAATCGCTCCTGGGGACGTCCCCCGAGGACACAGCAGCTGGCTGGAGTCCCCAGACCAGACTCCCCTGACTGAGTGTAGCGGCGCAGGTGGAGAGGATAAAGGTAATTCCGGCTCAGCGGCCACGAACTCCCCTCACCCCCGCCCCACACGCGCGCCGCGGTTTGCCGGGAGAGCAGGAAGCCTCAGAAAGCAAGACAACTCCAACACTGCCCCCTTCCCTCTCTGGCGCTTCGCGTGTGGCCGGCGCCTGCCCCCCGCGATGCCATCTTGAGACCCTAGCATCTTCCCAGTAGTTCGTGAGTTCTTGCCTTCTGTTCGCGTCCCTGCGTCTTTGCAGGCGTACCCGAACCTTGGAAGAAGGTGAGAAACCTGCTGGTGTGGGCTGTGGATTTCCTCCACCCAGAACTGACAAAGTCCGATGCTACTGACAGTAAGCCGAACAAACCGCCCCCGCGCCAGCCTGCGCCCCGATTCCCGCTCGCTGGGGGCCAAGTCAGACGCCCCGCGGCGCACCCGCAGCCCCGGGCCCCGGAGATGCGGTCCGCGAGCGCCGCGTCCAGGGGCTGGAGGTCGGGGGGCCGGGTCCCGGCACGCGCGGGCGGGAGGGTGGAGGTACCCCAGCAACTCACAGCCCAGCGCGACCACCAGGTAGCGCAGCAGCAGCAGGAGGAGGCGGTGGCGGCTCCTCCTCGCCATCTTCCCGGGGTCCGGACTGGCTGCTGCTCGGAGGCCGAGGGTCCCGGCGGCCGGAGCGCGGCAGGCCGGGCGGGGGCCCCTCGACTTCTGGGGCGGGAGTGCGGGAGAGATTCGCTCCGGGGAGGGGAGGGGAGGGGAGCGGTGGGCGGGCCCTGATGGAAGTCAGTTTCCCCCTGCGGGGGGCGCCTCCTCAGCGGGCAGCCTAGGGGCAGGTCTGGCCTGTCCCCGGGCTGCGGGGGGCGGGGGCGGGGGTGCGGCTGGGCTATTGCTTTTGTGGGGTGAGTGTGGGAGGGGGTGGGCCGTGGATGCCGGACGAGGTGTGGGCTGGGTGCTAATGAGGGGGCAGGAGGAGGCGAGGGGCGGAAGGGAAGCCCTGGCGGGCGTCCCCCGCCCCCCGCCGCCGGGATTGATCGGCTTTGTGTCTGGTCCGGCGCGGGGCTGCGCGCCGTCCCCCGGGCGAGGAGCGGGGGGCGGGAGGCGCGGGCCGCGGGGGCTGGGGGGAGGCGGCGGTGGAGGGCGACTCCGCCGGCCTCGCTCCAACTCCTCTCTTCCTTCTCCTGGCACAAAACTTTTTGGGTTTTCAGCCTAGGGGTGGAGATTTTTGGAACATTTCTGGCCAACGGGCGAAGCTGCGGGGGAGGCGCTGGGTCGGGGTGTGTGTGTGTGTGGGGGGGGGGGAGATGGGGTTCGCCGGCTCCGCCTTGGACGCCGGAGGAAGAAAAAAGAAAAAGCAATCAAGACTCTTGCTAGAAGGCAGGGCTCCGATCTTAGCAGTAGCCTTGGCCCCCTCTCAGTGTAAGCTTTTCGCTCTTCGGAGAGTTGAGGTGTGTTTTGTGTTCTTTGCTTTTCACGTGTCAGAGTTGGAAGTTCATCTAACGGTGTAAAATATTTATCATGTTTCTTTCCAGTTATATAACTGCTGCCTGTGGAGTTTTCCACATGTTAAAACTCTACAGCTGCCCTTTGTCAGGTTTATTTTTGGTTTACTGTGCTTTTAAAAGGGAGACCTATTATGAATGCTCTGTTGCCTTCTTTAAAATTGACCTGCACTTACACTGTACACACTCCAAGGGCTAAACAGACAATTTTTGTATTTGCTCCCAGGGACCAAAAATGTCTAGTGCATTCAAGAATAGTGACAGATCTGGACCTTTCTCAAGAGAAGAAATTGTTATACATTAGTTTTGTGTGTGTGTGTGTGTGTTTTTAAAGGTAGAATAATGAATAAAATACTTAATAGAAGAGAGTTGATTTAGTGGGGTGCACATGAAGAATTTAGCTCACTGGACAAAGGCGACCAGAGTTGAGATATGCAGAGCTGTGAGGAAGGAGACATCCCTGCTGTTTCCTTGGTGACAGTGATGGAAGCTTGATACCCAAGGCAGGGAGGGGCAGAGGACCCAAACAGTCAAAATGGCCAAAACGTTAGAGCTATACTCCAGTCAAGCAAGGAGAGGGGACACAGATTTAACAACAGGCTTATGCCAGTTTTTCTGGGTAGCAACCAGAAAAATGTAATGCTTTACAAGAGAAGTTGATGGCGTTCTCTTTTCTCATTCTTGCCACTGTATATCTCTCTGGCTCCTCCCTAAAGATACACACAAAAAAGGGCATACTTTTTAAAATTAGTACTCTGTGACATCCTAAGTGAATAATTGTTTTCAATTAGCAATAATCGCGTCTCGGATAAACCTCACTGGGTATGATACTGCCGCTGCGCAAAGCTTACTATGTGAATAATTGATTCACTCCCTTATTTGTCACCCAGTTAATGCATTTGCCAAATAGCTACATTGTGGTAGATGCTGGTGTACAATGATGAACAAGATTGAGTCTTTGCTGCTCATGAGCTCATAGTCTTGAGAGAGAGAAAGAGTCCCATCTGGAAAGACCTCTAATACTACATGATAAGTGTTGTGGGAGAACAGAAAAAAGTAACAGCAGTTCTTATTGAGTGCTTTCTCAGTGGTGGAGTCTGGATAGTGCTAATCTAATCCCCCAACAATTCTGTAAGGCAGAAAATATTATCACTCCCACTTTGCAGATGAGAAAACTGGGCTGAGAGATTCTACTGGCTTGTTCAAGGTCAGGGATAAGGGAATGTTCCTCTGTTGGAGGGTGTGTGCATGGCTTTATTTAGGCGTGGAAAGTTACAGATTCTGAAAGGAATGAAATAAGCAAAGGGCACTCTAGGTAGAGGATACAGCAGGATCAAAAGCTGGAAGATCTAAAAATTATGGCTTGTTTAGGTAAAGCAGTGTTCTACAGTGCCAGTTTATATGTGGGATTGGTGCAGAAGAGGTGGCAAGAACTGAAGAGGGGATTGGATTATGGGGGTCATTCAGTGCCATACTAGAAACTCTAGCTAGACCTTATCCTATAGTTAAAGACCTTTTGAAAGCACTAGGGTAGGATATGAAAAAAAAAAAAATCCACGTTTTAGAACTGTGCTGTGTAATATGGTAGCCTCTAGATCCATGAAGCTATGTAGATTTGAAATCAGTTAAACCTAAAATTCAATTCTTCAGTCATACTAGCCATATTTGATGTTCTCAATAGCAACATAGGAGGTAATGGCTGCCCTATTGGCCAGCGCAGATACAGAGCATTTCCATCATTTCAGAAAGTTCTACAAGACATTGCTGCCTTCATATGATGACTCATATGGAAATATAGACTGGATTAGGGATAAGAGAATCAGAATGTTAGACAAGTCTGAAAACTATTGCAATATTCTTAGAAAGAGATGAGGTATGAAGTAAATGGGGTAAGTAAAGAAGCAGGTAGATTCAAAAGATATTTCATAAACCTGGGTAGCAGGATTAGGTCATCGATTAGGTACAGAGGTGATGAAGGGGAGAAGGTAACTGAGTTTTGTAGCCTGGATGGATGTATGTGGTAGTTATAAATAGCACATTAACTGAATAAGAAACACAGGGAGCATACATAGTTCCAGCAGGTTTGAAATGAGTTGACTGATTTGCTAGAATGGCTCGCAGAATTCAGGGAAATGTACTGACTTACTATTACCTGTTTTAAAGAACAGTACAACTGAACAGCCAGATGAAGAGGTACATAGGGTGAGGTCTGGAAGGTCCTGAGCACAGGAGCTTTTGGGGTGTGTCATCCTCTTGGCATATGGATACATTCACCAACCTGGAAGATCTCTGATCCCTGTAGTTTAGAGGTTTTTATGGAGGTTTCATTAGGCAGGTATGATTGATGAAACCACTGGCCATTGGTGATTAACTCAATCTCCAGCCCCTCTCCCCTCTCTGGGGGTGTAGGGTAGGGCTAAACTTCTAACCCTCTAATCATGCCTTGGGCTTTCTAGTGACCAGCCCCCAGTCTGAAGCTATTTAGGGGCCCCCAGCCACTAGACATCTCATTAGCATTCAAAAGACATTCATGATTCTGGAGATTCCCAAGTGTCTTAGAAGTTTTTATATTAGGAAACAGGGACTAAGATCAAACATTATAACCAAAGATGCTCCTATCACCCCATCACTCAGGAAATTACAAGGATTTTAGAGGCTCTGTACAAGGAATCAGAGATGAAGACCAAATATATATTTCTTATTATATCACAATATCACACTATACACTCCAACCATCATGCTTCTTGGTATTTATCCAAAGGAGTCGAGAACTTATGTCCACACAAAAACCTGCTCATGGAACAGCTTTATTCATAATTGTCAGTCAAGATGTTCTTCAGTAGGCTAATGGATAAATAAGCTGTGGTACATGCAGACAGTGGAATAATAATCAGAGCTAAAAAGAAATGAATCCATGAAAAGACCTGGAGGAACCTTAAATGCATATTACTAAGTGAAAGAAGCCACTAACTGAAATGGCTACATATTGTTTGATTCTGACTATATGACATTCTGGAAAAGTGTATAAACTATGGAGGCAGCAAAAAGATCAGTGGTTTCCAGGGGTTAGGGGAGACAGAGGGATGAATAGGTGGAATACAGAGGATTTTTAGGGTAGTGAAACTACTCTGTATAATACTACAGTGGTGAATACATGTCAATATATATTTGTCCAAACCCATAGGATGTGTAACACCAGGAGTGAGCCTTAATGTAAACTGTGGACTCTGGGTGATTATGATGTGTCCATGTAGGTTTATGAATTTAGCAAACATACCATTCTGGTAGGAGGATGTTGATAATGGGGGGAGGGTATATGGGAAGTCTCTGTAACCGTCTGCTTCATTTTTCTGTGAACCTAAAACTGCTCTAAAAAAAAAAAAAAAGCAAAATCTAGCAACAAAATTAAAACAAAAGAAGACCTAGGGAAAGATCACAGAAAAGAGAAATCAGAAAGTGTGAGAGAAACTAGGAGAGAAATAAGGAAAGAGGTGTTTATAGCATCCCATGCCAAAAAGGGGATTGAGAATTTCTCCTGCAGTTAGCAATTATGAAGGCATTGACCACTTGGACAATAGAGAAAGCAAGCCTCTGAAAAATTTGTAGAAAAAACTTAAGAGACTTGTGTTCTATACTTAATAAGGTATATAACTAGTGCATAAGATAAAAACAAACAATGAAATGCTTAATGCTTACAAACATCAGGAGCCAGATGATGAAAGGAATAGCAATAGTTAATATTGCTTCATCGATGAGTGGTTGGGAGTTGCTTTCATTATTGTTCTGCTTGTAAGAATCCTTGCCCCAGGGAGCATGGGGCAGCTTGTAGGGAGGAATGAAGAGGAAATACAGGGAGTCCCTCAAACTCGCTTTTACTCTCTGTGATCATATTGGGCTCCCCCTCTCCCCAGGTGTCATAATCACTCTGACACTATAAACAGTTTTGTCAGGTTAACATAAATGGGGACTTGGTGCTTTTGGACATCGTACCATTTTTTATTCTTTCCACCCACTTTAATTCTGAATTCAAGGTAATGTTGAGGAGGGTGTCAAGGCACATTTACTAAAACAGGCAATAGAGAGAAGGGCTGGGTTTAAATTGAGGGACTTCTCACAACACCTCAGATCTGGTATTTCTGTGTTGGCTGGGTTATTTTTCTTCATGGGTGTGGAGAAGGTGCTGGAAAGTGTGTCTACACTCTGCAATTTGGAGAAAAGGAAAAAAAGTCATTTCCAGAACCACACAAATTCCCAAGTGTCTCTCCTATAATTTTAAACTATGGATAGAATTTAAGGTCTTTAACTAATGGGATCCTCATTACTTATCCCTCATTATTTTCTCCTCAGATCAT